TTTTCACGCATGTTGTAATGTCAATAAAATGAAGGCCTCTAAATGTTAATTTTAGTCCTTAATCTTCAATTTGGGTCAACTATGACAAAACTTTATGTTAAGCCTCTAAACTTTAAATTATTGATAAAGTTTTTAATCTTTTATTGAAACATATAAGCCTTTAAATTTAATAATTCAGGCAAATTAACCATCTTTCTTTATAATGGATTTAATGCTTATTTGTATCTCATTTGTGTAGACAAAATATTAGCATGTTATTACCTATGTGATAGATATTGACTTTGTCCACAAAAATAAAGTATAAACGAGCATTAGGTTTGTTATAAGAAAAAAAAGTCACGTTACTCAAATCGTAAAGTTCAATAGCTTCTTTACTTCAATAAAAATATAGGACTTAATCAAGAATTTGTAGTAAGTTTGGGGTCTTAATGTAGGGATTTGCCTATAACTACTTAAAATGTAGGTTTGATAGTGAAAACCTTGAAAAGAGAAAAATTGTGATAATTTATTATGGAGTTTTTCCTAGATTTATCTTTGGCTAGTGATTATATATATCATGAAAAAGTCATCATCACATGACATGAATATGTTTATGGTCAATGTTGATATTAATAGTTAATATACCTTCCGATCTAAAATAGTTCTCGCTTGGGTATTTCAAAGAGGAAAAAGTATATAGGTTGAGGTTGTTAAAAAGAGATCAACCTAGTTAAAACATAAGGTTGGGAACTTGTTTTGGGACCACTCCTTAATTAGCCTTAACCAATTATTATGTACTTCCACAATAAATTACTAACATATGGTCCCAAGTTCCCCAACACAAAAACAGCATTTTCCTCTGAAACAAAAAAATCGAGTTAAAGAAGAGTTTTTTTTTTTTATTATTATTAATCTTGAGTTAAATAAGAGTACTTATACTGAACATTGATGCATTATGCAATTAAAACTTCATGTGCGTAGCACAGGGCCGTAGACCAATTAGGAAACATCTTTAAGCAAGAGAAGGATGTGGTCCTCATGTGGAATATATATGCCCACCTTCTCTAAGATTTTTTTTTTTTTGGTACTGAATTTTTTGATATTTAAAAGTCACATTGATTTCGAAATTAACTCAAATTAGACCTCATAAAAAGCAAACTCTCCGATACTTATCTTTTCATTTACAAAATTTAAATTTAAGACTTTATTTAATATTAAAGAAAATTGACATCCTTCTACTCAAATTAATAGATCATTGGTCCACTACCTAAGATGATGATAAATTTACTTTGCTTCTCCAACATGCTATATAATGCAACTAACATGTTCTCGTCAAACTCTATCACGTTCACCACAACAAGGATAATGCCATTCTCACATTTCTCTAACTAATTTTTTGGGGTCACAAAAATAAGGGCATGCTTGATCTAACGTACTAATTGATACAACAATTAAATTAAGTTCACCTGATTCTGATGTTATTAATTTGTCCTCTTTTATTTTTTTTATTTTAAATTGTATAATAAGAGACAATTACATTTTCTTGTATTTTTTATAGTTAATTCACTCTACTTATATATTATACAATTTAAATTTAAAATCTCTTATGTAATCCACTTGGAGGAGAGATTGTCACCTGCGTGCATGATTTTGATATTATTAATTTGTTCTTGATCATCCAAATCTCTTTCTTTTTCTTCAAATTGAAAATTAATTTACTCATTTTGGACTCCAAATTGTTTCTCTTCTATGCTAAGCTTATGATCGATTTTGTGCGTTCAAAAAGATTTTTGTCTTCCATTTTATGTGTCTTATCATAGTTCTCCACATTCAATCCAAGCCCTTAACAACTGCCAATTCCCGGTAATTATTAAAGTTGAAGCTCAAATTGTTAGATTGGTGCAATTCAAGGCATTAAAATTTTGGACATCTAAACTCTGAAGTCCTTCACATGTCATGTATATGTAGCGTGTTTATTTGGCTTAATTGGAGCTTTTGTGAAGGTTCTTACTTTTATAAAATTAAGTTTTGCCCCATAAAATTAATATAAAGAGTTTGCAATTGCAAAACTAGAAAAGTTAATCGGAGTCTATCTTTATTTGATGATGATTATTATGTTTATATATTATCATAATTTAAATTATACGACAGTTTTCATCTCAATTTTATAAAAATCGATAAATCTAACTGAACATACAAAATCTACCCAGCAACAAAAGAAACCTATTCCCCGTATAAGTTTTGTATGCTGTAGGTACAACTTCAAATTAATTGGAAAATAAAACTTTTAGAGGAAAAAAGAGAGAGGCACTTTTACACGTTCACTAAGAGAGATCATTAGTTGGTTGCATGCATGGACATGGACAAAGAGAGGAAGAGAATACAAGGCAGGCATCCTCCCTAGACCCTGTTTTCACTTTTGGGGCAACGTATATAACCATCCCTCTCCTATAATCTTTCCCTGACTTTTGTACTCTAAGTCAAATACATAATTAAGTATATATGTATGTGCACTTTATTTAAAATAATAATTCTCTTAGACTTTTCACAAAATTAATTTTTTACTATATTATAATACCCCACATTGTCACATGCATCATCTTCTCATTTTAATCACCACCTAAAAACCTCCTAATCATTAACTCAGATCCCACAAATCATAAAATTAGACATAGCACCAAGAAAGAGAGAGTAGAAATTCATGGAATCGGTAAGCCTCCAAAATCCAAATAAAATAAGTGTTCATCATAGGATAAGGAACAATTATTAAGTAATGACTTTATTTTTTTTTTAAAAAGTGAAATTTTAAATTAAAAAGACAAATTTTGATTTTTAATTTCAAATATATTAACAAAAAATTAATACATAACATTTATAATTAAATTAAAAGTCAATTTCATCTTTTTTGAGATAAAATATAATAATTATTACTCAATAATTATTTATTATTTTGTGTTTTAAAGGCACAAGATATACACTGATAAAATAATTAATCAACAAGTTTAATTAGTTTGTTTAAACTAAAAAGATGCCCCATTTTAATACGGTTGGCTTATGGGCCTACCACGGCCTCCGTTTGTCTGGTGACTCACAAAACAAATTAGGGCTCATCAAAAGTCAAAAAGGCACCAATCAAGTTAAAGGGAATAAAAGACGATGCCAAAGGGGGCTGAATTAGGTCAGAATTCAAGAAGGGGGCATATATCAAGGGATATTATGAAGAACTTGATGCCCCCAACTTGGTTTTTAGTTATTTCAGTTGCAATTAAGCTGCCTGCATGTTTAGAGCAATTAGGAGAACCTTCTTAATTAGTCATTTTTGGAATATGACAAAACCATGCAGAGGAGAAAATGGGTTCTAATTTGCACAGATGAGACGAGATATGGTGATCTGTTTTTGGATGCTCTAATAGTAACCTGACAAGTTAGGTCAAATGCCAGCTATTTTATTTTATTTTATTATGGTGATCTGTTTTTGGATGCTCTAATAGTAACCTGACAAGTTAGGTCAAATGCCAGCTTCATATAACTATAATGTTGTTTTTTATGCACCAAACAAAAGTTCACTCTTTTTTTTTTCTTTTTTTTCTTTTTTAAACCCCATGTTTTTCTCTTTCATTTTGTTAATATTGTAGCTGCAAGTATGCCGGTTATTACTTTTTGCTTCTTAATTTCTTTTAGTTTCAGCTTTTGAGTGCTTGTATTGACCTAAGAGTTATTTAATTTATAAACATGGTTCAAAAGACTTAAATACAATATTAAGAATTGTTTCACTTAAAAGTTTAAAATATCATATTAGAACTTAAAAATAATTCTACTCTTAATATATTTTATTAATTTAATGATGCTAATATTTGCCACCTTCAATATCCAACAAATAACATATATCTTGTCATTCTATCCTTTGAATATTGTTAGAAACAATCTCTTTACATTTCATTATTCAGATTTCTACTTTAAAGAAGTTCTTTAATTTCTTGCTGAAATGTAGCACTTCCAATTAATTTCACAAAATAAAGTCTTGATCTCTTGGCAGCCCAATTGGTAAGGTGCAAAACTGCAAATACCTCATCTTTTGGAGACAAGACATGGTTTGAATCTTCCACTAACAAATATCAAAACATATCTTGCACACTTAAGTCTTTGCCTCTCTTTTCTGTACTTTCCCTGAATTATAATATATTATCCACTAGTTGCCTCAGTGGACCTGATCAGAATGAGTTCTTCCTGTTTCGGTTGCCAGCATTGAATACAGCCACAGGGCAGTTGTTGGAAGGAAGAAGTGAACCTTGTTCGTGTTTTCAGAACATTATTGAGTGCAAGCACTCTTTGAATAGCTATTTTCTTTTGTAAACTTATGACCCTTTAGTAAAAATATGTACATTTTAAAAGGCAGATTTTTGCATGGTTACAACTTTTCAAAGCAACCTTTCATCTTCTATAAATTGGCCATCTCATTTCCTCATTTACACATGCAAGTTTTCTACATGCATAATAGTTCCCTACTATCTTAAATCAAAGTTTGCTGCAAAAAACTCTACAAAAGTTAGAGATAGTTCTGCTTTTCTGGTGAAAGTTCAGTGGTTTGATTTCATTAGTGCAAGACGCGGTCAAACAATGGACTTCATTGTATCCCACGGCAATTTGCCTTTAACACATTGGCATATCAATACTCCAATTGATAGGGGCAAATAAAGCCCAAGGAAAGTGGCATTGCAACATGTCTTGAAGCCATTGCACTCATATTTCTTGTAATTTTACCGATCAGTTCCAACAAACCTTCAGTGCAGGAGACTTAAGCTGGAAGAATTTTATCTCATGTCAATTGTAGCAACAGGATAATATTCACATAATGCAGAAAAAGAGAAATGAATTGACAACATGCAGATATGGAAAAGATTTAACCATCCTATAAACTGCTACTGGATTAACTAAATTGAGCTAATAGAACAGCTAAAGTATACTTACTATCAGGTATCCTATGAAGTTCCAAGAATGGAAGGAAAAGAGGGATGATACAAGAGGAAAATGAAAGCTAATCTGAGATCTTTTTTTTCACAACCAACCAAAAGATGGCTCTTTTCCTTTAATCATTTCAAGTGTCATACAAGAAGTTCATCTTCTTTGATTATGTACATCATCAAATCAATCATAGATTAGCATAATCTAATCACGTTATTAGCATCGGCTGAAATAATCCACACTCTGAGTTGCAATATGCAACAACAAAACACACAACAATTACAAAATAAAACACACCTTCTCCCTTGAATTAGCAATATCTGCATGTTGTCAATTCATTTCTCTTTTAGCTGTTAGATTGCAGCCCTCCCTGTTGTTCCAATATTCCATCCCCTCTCCTTCTCCCTTTGAATTAGCTTCTGCTGGTTTTCCTTTGTTCCTCTTCTCCCGTTGCCTACCAGTACTCTGTGTGCCATCCTCCCTCTGCTTCCAATGGACACTCTTACCCTTTCCATTCCCACATTTACACCTTTTCTCAACTGTTGATGCATTGGGGACTTCATCTGGATTTTCTTACGAAGGCTTCGTCTCAAATTGCTGCCCAACCTCTTACCTGCACTCTTCATTGGCTTAGGACTATTACAGAGAGTTCGCTCAATGAAGAACTCATCTTCTTCCCCCCTTACATTTTCTTCACATGGTGGCGATGGTAACAATGGCCGTGGTGCCTGAGTTGAGTTAGGTGCACTTGGTAGTGGAAACAGGGTGTTGTGCCTTGGAGCTGAGGTAACTGTTATCCTTCTTGCAGCCTCACAGATTGAAGCTTTTCCTGTCCTTTTTGCAAGTAGCAGGTTTTCATCAACCAGAGGACTGTTTTCTTTTTCTGAAGGATCAATATGTTTGGCAAAGCTGTTTGTTGAGGGAAGGGGTGTAAGAGGTTTGGAGCTATTCTCCATTAATGAATGAGCAAGATTTACTGGTTCCTCCATAGGTGGTTCACTAGCCACTTCATTTAAATTCTTGAAAGTTCCCAGTGGTCGAGCTGCTAATGGTGATCTCATTGGTGTACTGTTTTGCATTTCTTGCTGTTGTTTAATCTGCTGCTGCTGTTGCTCAACTATCTTTGTATCAACATGCTGACGTGCTAGCTTCCTTTCAATAAGTAGCTGCGATTCCAATTCCTTCACCTGCAAAGTAAACTCAATAGGAACCAGAATTTACTCAAAAAGGATGCGAAATAGAAAAGAACTCTAGTTTCTTGGCAAGACAAAGATCTAACATTTTCAAGACCAAAGCAATATGACATTCGATGCAACACCTTATCTTGCAAATTCTTATTTTTCAGGTCTCTCTCTTTTATCTTCAAATCTAAGCCATGAATCGTTTCTTGCATCATCTTGATTTGCATATCCTTGATCCTCATGTCTTGCTTTGATTTCTCAACCTTTTCAGTTAAATATTTGAGATCATTGAAAAGGATTGTCATTAGTACTTTACCAAGTAAAGCTAAGTATGCAAAAAAATTCACAACTTGGTAATTAGATAGATGAGAACTGTACCATCTGTTTGCATCTCTGAAATTCTGTGTTTTCCAATTGCCTCTTTGCAGGACCCAACTCTATTCCTCTAACTCTACTAGCAAAGTTAAGTGAGCATAAGGTCTCACCAAGGTCATTCTCATTAGGACTGATCTGTACAAACATGAGTGTCTTTGAATCTCCACCTAAAAAATATAAATCAAATAATTAGGTTTGATCCTGAAATTGGAAAAAAATAGAACTTTTAGACTGACCTATTCTTTTTTTTCCAGGGTTTAAAGTTCTTTTCATTTTTTGGGTATAATGATGGAAACTTACCTAGAGAGTCCTGAAGCAAGTGAGTAAGCTTTGAATTCCTGCATGGAAGAAACCCGGTGAGGTTTAAAATTGAAGATAGGCACACTTGCAGTTAATTTTCAAATTAAACTGTCACAGAAGGACATATCTATATTGTTACAACCTAAATGGAATGTGAGGGCTTTTAGTTGCAAGAGCAGATATGACATCACCAAGCGCAGACAGAGATCTATTGATATTTTGAGTTTCCTTGAGACGTTCCCCTTGCACTTCTGTCTTTGCTACTCGTTCACTTCCCGCTAGGTCCACCAGCCACAGCTTGCTCTTTGTACATTCTCCACTCATCAAATTCTCCCCCTTGACCATCACACAGTGTATGCTGTATCAAAGGGAGATAAAGAAGCAGGCCTTCAGTATTTTGTTTGTTGCAACGGGCAGTTATTAAACACTTAAACTAGATGGAAACAGACCAGTGTGATCTACTGCTGCGCTCGTTGGCATTGGTTGACCCAACAGTTCTTGCATTACTTCCTGTTTGTAGAACTTCCCAAGCCTCATTAATGTTGTTTACATGCGCTTCAACCAATCCTGGTACATGATGCATTCTTTCACCTACTTGCCTTACCTCAAGTCTGCAAATGGTGATTTAACAATGAAAAGTTAGCCGGTAGTTGTCAGATCATAATATGGAATACCCTAGAAGTTTCTTCTTTCAACACCACAGGACTTAATCTCAAAATGTTAATATTTCCTCAGACAATAACTGGAAAATGCTTACTCTGACTAGAAACAAGGTCAAGGAGAAGAAGTAAAGTTAAACAGATAACAAAATAGAAGTAAATGGATAGTTAGGGAACTCGTGTACACCTTTTTGCAGCCATTCCTGGTTGGGTGCCTGACACTAGCAAATCTCTTATTTGCTCATTATAGACTTCTAGTACACTCACAGATATATCATATCGGTATAGGTTCTGCCTCTCATTAATTATTCGAAACAGCTGCTCTAGAGCCCTAAAGTTTACTCCGCGAGCTTCTTTTGTACCCTCCATTGTAAAAGTTTTCCCAGTACCCGTCTGCCCATATGCAAATATACAGACATTGTACCCATCTAGGACTGAGGTAGCAAGCGGAGCTGTCTCTTCAAAAACATCAACTAAACAAACAAGTTGTAAAACAAAAATATATATTATTGACAGAAGCAATATGCACACTAAAGAGAGCACAAAACAAATACTAATGGGATTACCTTGGTCAGCTTGAGGGCCAAAAACATTATCGAACTTAAAGGTTCTCTTAGGAGCTCCATTTGACATTACAGTGAGCTCACCATCTTTGGCAGACTCAAAATCAAGAGCCATTGAAGCTCCTGCTGCAACTTCTTCATCATTTAGAGGCCTACACCTGCAAAAGACTCTTATATTCCCTGCAAGTTGATGCTAGAAATGTCAGTAAGGCCTCTTAGTTTCAACCTCTTTCACATTCTAAACGTAGAATCAATCACACTGCTAACCTTTCAACTCTAAAACCTTGTTATAGAGTTCTTTCCGTTCTCTGGCCCCTTCGAGAAATTTAATCTTGAGCTCTTCCTTAATATCCACCTGCTGGTTTACTTTTCAAAAGATAAAACACTTTGAAAGTGAGAAGGGATTCATGAGCCGATAGAAAATTATAAATTATAATCATCTATGCATGAACTTACTTCTGGACTGAATCGTTTCACTCATTTTGTTGATATCTCCGAGGCAGTTCTTATACAATAATGCCTCTTCGGAGAGCTTGATGTGTTCCATTTTCATTATCTGTAAATAGAGATTTTTCAAAGTAATGCAATCATTTTTGGCAGTTTCTTCTCATCTATCTAAGATTGAATATTCTGGTACTGTTTTCATACCTTCAATTTTCTTGTCATGTCCCTCAAAGATGAGAACCATCTACTCTTCTCTTTCACTTGTCCCTCAATAGCAAAGGCTATCAATACATAGAACATATATGCATCAATAAGAAACCAGTGAGACCACAGGAAAAACCAAAAAAAAAAAAAAAATCCAATTTCCATACCCAATGAACCAACATGCATTGATTTACGCATAAGCTCATTCTGAAGCTCCTGTAGAGACTTCCAAGCTTCTTGGCACTCGTTGCTTTTAAGTTGATTCTCCTGCCTAAGCCCATCTATGACCCTCCTCAGCTCTATTATTTCCTTCTTCTGACACTCATAATCCCCTTCCACCTGACCCTCATCTATATCCTGCAACCCAATCATTTTTGGTGATCAGAAAGTTTCTTTTTTTCTCAAATCAAATGAAAAACTTTGAAAGTGGTATTTACATGAAGATGTTCCTTCTGTAATTCATCTTGAATTGCAGGCGGAGAAGGGAGTAGTTCAAAGGAGGATTCCGGGGACAATTCTTTCTCAAAAGTTTGGCACACTGTCGAAAACTTAACAGAGGGAGTCTTGCGGGTTTTTTTCGCATTAGATTCATTGATGCCATTCTCTAAGGAGAGTTCAATGGAACACTTGTTCTTCTCCAAGAATTCAGGGGAAGATCCGTATCTTTCAGTTGGAATATCTGGTGAACCGGCACATATGACCAGGTCAGCAGATGTTAGAGAAAATCCCAACATGGATCGACCTGAAATAAAAATCTAGATTCGATCAATTTCTTAAGAAAACCTTATAAAAAAAAAGGGTAAAATTTCTCCAATTTTGCTTCTAATATGGAGCAAAGAGAAAAAAAACAAAAAAATGTTACCATCAACTTTGTTAATCCCAATTGGGTCACTGAAATTTTGCGTACTAATTGCATCTAAGCTGTGATTTTTCCAGGAAGAATCTACACCGAAGAACCAGGAAACAAAAATTAAACCAGGAAAAAGGAAACAAAAATCTATAAAAAAGAAAAAAGAGTGGCTGGGCACCATCATCTCTATTACAAGAAGAATCTGGATTTGCCATTGCTGGACTTTCTGAGCTGGCTGATTTAGGCTCTTCAGTATTTGCAGTGTCGGAGCTAGGTTGTTGAGAAGAAAGGTCAGGAAGGATATGTGGGTCATTCCATAACTTAAGATTCTTGTTCTCCATCGATAAAGAAAAAGGGTACTGCAATTTGAACCTTGAACGGAAGCAATCAACACTCCCCACCTTTTTGATTCTTCGGGAAAAAAGAAAAAAAGGAAAAAAGGTTAGAGAGGAAGGAAAGTTCTGTTTGATATGATTCGAGAGAGAACATTCAATCTGAATTTTATGACCGTTAAGCTTTTCAAATTTGAATTTTGCGGAAGCGGCATTGAATTGAAGATGATCATGCGCAGCTCACGTTTCCTGCCTGATTTTGATTTATTTTTATTTCTTTGGAAGGAGTAGAATTCTTGGAAATTATTAAGTGAAAATGTTAGTCATCCATAACTCTAAAATATTAAAAGAAAAACACTGAAATTATTTTAATTTTTTTTAAGAATACTTCAATAAAAACAACTTATTTTTATACATTTTTTCTTAATTTCTCGTCTGATAAATACTAATTTCTAATATCATTTCCTATATGCCTAATTTCACAATACAATGATATTGATAATAAATGAATCAATTAATTGAAACCTACGTGAACAATTCTACCAGAGAGGTGAGAGTTGCATCCAAAGTCACAACATCTTCCAAAAGTATTGTGCCACATTTTCTCCTCTTTTTCCTTATTCTCTCTTTCTGTAGAGATGTTACAGTGTATGATATGCTACATTACTCATGAGGATTGTAAATGTTACGCTAGGAAGCCAGAATGAGATACATATATATATATACAACAAAATAGCATACAACAAATCATCGGATCATCAGCCACCAATCTCAACACTTCGCATGTTTAAATAAATTGCATGCGAAGG